GCTTGCTGTGGCTGGCTGTGTCTCATAGAATCATAGAATAGTGAAGTTGGAAGGGGCCTATAAGGCCATCAAGTACAACCCCCTGCTCGATACAAGAATTCAAATCAAAAGATATCTGCCAGGTGATCGTCTAAGTTTCTCTTGAATGCCTCTGGTGTTGGAGTGCTCACCACCTCTCCAGGTAATTGGTTCCACTGCCGTACTGCTCTAACAGCTAGGAAGTTTTTCCTGGCATTCAATAGAAAGCTGGCTTTTTGTAACTTGAGCCCATTGTTGTGTGTCCTGCACGCCAGGATGACTGAGAACAGATCTTGCCCCTCCTCTGTATGAAAGCCTTTCAAATATTTGAAAAGTGTTATCATATCACCCCCTCAGCCTTCTTTTCTCAAGGCTAAAGAATGGTTTCAACTGTGCCACTCGACCACCTCCTCCAGTGAGTTTCCATGGCTAAGTGGGGATTCGAACCCAGGTCTTCTGAGTCCCAGTCCACTAATCTATCCACTACGCCATACTGGTAGCAAACACCCACGATACACCAGCATTTGTATTATTATACCCGCAGTACTGGTGGCAGTCTGGGAGATTGTGACTTACTTAGGGTCATGAGATAAATTCATGGTTGAGTTGAGATTTGAGTTGGGACTTGATTAGTCACAGTGTGTTCTTTTCATTATTGTGCTACACCATCTCTGTAATCAGTTACAAACGAAACAAAGACACAGCAATTGTTTACTACCAATGATCCTATTTGATGCATTAGGTCCAGGACTATAGGGATAGGTTATGCAGTATACTGAAGTTATATATCACATCTGAGAAGGTGCAGGAGGAAATAAAAACTCTTCCTCTACCACCTAATAATATATATATTTGCAACCTGCATGGAATTCTAGACCTGTGCATGTGGGACACAGAGCAGTCAATTAGTCCAGAGGACAGAGAGTATATGAGTTAAGCAGACAGATAAGCATAGGCATTATTTCAGGGAGCTTCTGGTAGCCAAAACCCTGCAAAGCTTATACTGAGAATTGTCCTACCATGGGTGATGCCTATCCAGGTGTTTTCCAGATGTTTTGAATTCCAGGCTCCATAATGCCTGTCTGATAGCCATGCTGGCTAGAAATTATAGGGGTTGTACTTCAAACCATCTGGAGAGCATCAGTCACCTATTCCTGGTTTCCAAAATACCCCAACAATTCAGATGAAGTTCCATGAGACCATAAACAGATTGCAAGAGAGCCAATCAGAAACAGTATTGGTCAGAGGTCAGAACAGTTATGGTGGTGGTAGTGGAGAACCACCTTCACCCTGCAAACCAGTTACCTCAACAGAGTTCCAACTAAGATGAAAGTCACGTGTGGATATGACAGATGCCACAGTTGTAACCTGATTGGCTTCAGCAGGTCTGTTCTGGAGGAAGCGGGTCGGGGGGTCCCACCATGAGTGGCTCTGTGTACACTCCCAACCCACTTCACCCAGAGTCAGCCTACTTGGGAAGCAGGATAAACGCTAGCAGTGGAATTACAGAAGGTCTGGCTTTGCTTCTTCCTTCTTTCCCATATTGGCAATGTCTGTTTGAAGGACAGGCTGGGTTTCCCTTGCCGCCACAACGGCTGTTGATTCTCACACTCAACCTCAAAAGGGGAACAAAGACTGTGCTACAAACCTGCATCGAGTTTCCTCTTCCAGAAACCACAAACCATCTCCTCATCTCTACTGGGGCTATTTTCCATTCTTGGCAACGTGATACTATGGTTTGTGACTGGAGCCTTATTCCTGGGCCAGGCATCCTTCCTCTGCAGCAGAGATAAAAGGTGGCGTTTTCAAGGCCATGCAGTTCAGAGAATAGTGAGGGCAGAGAAAACGCTTAAAGATGAAGCAATGGCTGTTGGCTACAGGCAGGATATGGACCCAGAGGGCTCATCCAATAAAAATACAAAAATGAAATGAAACAAAACCCAACAACTTCATGTGTTTGGACATCCAGATTATTAGAGCCTGATCTTTGAAGCCTGGATTTTGGAAGATGTCTGAACCTCTCAGCATGTCAGTATCTTCTCCTGGTCAGTGTTAGGGTTGTGGTAAAGCAACTCATGTTGGGATGCCCAGCTTGTTCTGGATGGGGCTGGGTTTGCAGTTGAGGGGTTCTCTTCTGTCCATCACCATTAATTGGTTCACCTCAGCATAGTGTGCCTTCTATCAGCTTTGGTTGGTGCTTTGAAAGGAGGTGGTGTCAGCCAGTTGGGAAATATAGCATGGAGCTCCTGTTCTGGCCCAGGTGCATCTGCTGCAAATATGTCTCTGGATACGATGCAAGAGCTGGTTTTCCATTTGTTTGTTTGTTTGTTTACCTATAAGGCTATAGAACTATATGGCTCAAGATCTGAGTAATCCGTTCTCCAGAAAACAGCAGCCCTGAGAGAAAATGATTTTAATTCCAACACTACACACATCATTGTTTTGCTGTGATTGATAAAAACCGACTAATAAGATCATCACCATGAGCACAGAGGGAGCATCTGGAAGCTTTTGCAAGCCCGGATGCCTTTTATATAGTATTGTTCATTTAGTTAACACATTTAAAGTACAGAATTCCTGGGTGACTTTATCATGTATCTGCTCACATCTCAGTAAAGCTGTATTTTTAAGGATAGGGATACACTGTGGATTCGTGCATCAGCTTTTCAGTGAGTTCAGTGCTAAGCAAGATCTAGTAGCCGGGTCCTCCTAACCAAAGTGTAGAAACAGATGTACCTGTTCTTAACACGGAACCCTCTTTCTACACGCCAACCAGTCTCCCTTCAAAGTTTCTGCTGCTGCTGTTGCTGCTGTTACATGCTGTCAAGTCACCTCCAACTTCTGGTCACCCTAAGAGAGATCTCTTTTAGGTATCCGGCTGCAGAGCCAGAGGTTGGGAGTTCGATTCCCCCACTGTGCCCCTGGGAGAAGAACCAGCCGGTGTGGCCTTGGGAGCAAGCTGCACACTCCCGGGGCAACTCCCAAAAGAAGCGGGAGAAGAGCCAGCCGGTGTGGCCTTGGGGGCAAGCTGCACACGCCCAGGGCAACTCCCAAAAGGAAGGGAACGGCAAACCACTTCTGAGTATTCTGTACCTGGAAAACCCTGGAAAAGGTCACCATACATTAACAGTTCCTGCCAGAGTTTCTGTCAAGGTGAATATTTGTACCCACACTAAAATTGCTTCCGAATTTTGTACATAAAAAGGCTTCCTTCCCACCTCTGCCATTCTTGCTTCAATATATACATCATAATCACAGGGGCTCAGTGTGGGGGCAACCGAGAGCACCCTGGTCCAGCTACTGAGCTCCCCACCTCAATAGGGTGGGCATCGACCTACCCCATGCATAACTCAGCGATGGATTAGAGCGGTGATGAACACCTGGCAGGAGACACACCTGGAGCAGCTGGTGCAGCCCTGGCAGGACTCCTACTCAAGGAGGAACCAGCCAATTACGAGGGGGACCTTCGGGTGTATGTGGTGGACTGGGAGGCTTGTAAGGCAGAGGAGCTAAAGCCAAAGGAAGCACCCTCCCCGGGGAGGGCTGGGAGGTGGTCCGTCTGTGCAACCCATATATGAGTGACTGGGAAGACCTGACCATGCCCCCCTCCCCCGTTGAACTTGCTTGTGTCCAATGGGGCCAGGTTTAATGACACGATGCCCGGCAGCTAGAGAACCAGCATCAAGCCCAGCACCGTAACCACAGGAACCAAGAGTGTCCGCCCCAAGCCAAGCCAGCCCCCATCGCTCCTCGATCCTCCAGAGGGGAGCACCGCAGCTATACCACCCCATATCTGTTGCCCCAAGCCCCTGAGGGGACCATCTGCATACACCTGGACTGGGGCCAGGCTATGGCTGAGAACTGTCAAGCCTTCAGGTCAAAAGGAGCCTCTGTGGGGCCCCTGTGGCCTGGCCAGAGAGGGTGCCCATGCACTCCGCCTGCAGGGGGGGACAGATGTCAGCTTGCATCTAACACCCTTGCTGTGGTACCCCCTGCTTAGCTCATCCACGGGGAATGTTGGGACTGGT